CTTTTCCTTCACAAGTTTGTTGGGCTGGCCGACTTTCCTGAAGGTTACAGGTGTGTCCCGCTCTTTTGTTTTCTTTCATGGTGTCTTGCATTTACGGTTTCATTCCAAGAAAGAGAATGCCTGTGACATAGGTTGCTGCACTCTCTGAGGATAGGGGTGTTAAGGCCAGTTTCTGCATGTTTTTTGGAATGTTAAAAGCGCTGGGGTGCTGAAATATACAACAGGTGATATCAATGGCATTGCAGAACACCCCTGTAATCTTGTGCCAGGGTGACAGGTCCAGGAACTACCAATCAGAAGTGAGCTAGGGTGTATATGGGCAGGGCGTGGGAAGATTAACGTTACGTGCATCTCTAGGAACTTTCGTGCCTCAAGTACTTCCCCCTCCCCACTCTTTTTTTTTCAAAAACAATTATTAGGGTTGTACCCGTGCGGTAGAGGCCCGCCTCTGACCCGAAACCTATAGGTTCAAATAAGCATCCAGCCGGATTTGCTTTCTTCAAAAATTACTTTGGCTCCAAGGTCGAAATAGCCTAAAATAGGTACCAGGCAATATACTGGGAAGTAAAGACGGCCGGCATGATGTTGACTACATTTTGACGGAGTTCCAATTGGTCTATGAAATACAGGTCTATATAGCGTTCTTTACTGAACTCTTTCAAACCATATACACAAGTTCTCATTTGAAAGTGGAAAGATAACTTTAGAGTAACCGGCCATGCCTGTAGCGACAGGAACCAGAACTCTGTTGACACACGAAGCTGTAAAAGAGAAACTGAAGAAACATAAGAAGTAGAACAAGATCTACTGATATGATTTAGATAACGTTTCCAATATAATAGTTTAGGGCCGTATCGACGATTTTTTGACTACGTGATCCATGATATAGGATTTGGGCACTTAAAGTGACAACCGTCTGAGATCAAAAGAGATCCGATTTCTCCTCCAAAAATGGAATCGTTAGATACAGATGAATAGATATTTTATTCGATACACGCCGTACAGTGGAGTTATGCAAACAAAAACCTATCCAACATTAGAGTTAATCAAACAAAAGCGTATCCATTGATTTCCCTTCGTCAAAAGCAAGTACAGAGCTGCTTTGTTGCTGTTGAAATCAGGGCAACGCAAAGACATTGCTAGCAAGTCGACCGACTCCTGTAGGGATGTCAACAACCAGTGTTGCCATTTTTCTTTGACAAAACAAAAACATCTAAAACGGAGTCTAAAATATCTAAAAACATCTAAATTTGCGTAGAAAACATCTAGAAAAAGATCTAAATGAAAAGAGTCACAAATTACATAGCAATTGATATGACTTACCCCATAGAATCATGTCCTCATCTTTACTGAACTCTGCCTTACAAGATCCACAGGATAAACTTAGCTTGGATGATGAAGTTGAAGCTTCAGATTCAAAATGACTGGTATGCTTTAGCTGTTCCAAGTTCTTTTAATGCGCAATCAGGGAGCTGATAAGTGGAACAGCGTTTTCCTACTCTTATCAGGCCGAATTTTATTGTCAAGATATCATTTAGAAGGTTAAATTTCATCCTGTTTCTTAGGTTAGATTTGATAAATTCACTCCAAATGAAAAACCTCTAGAAAGACATCTACCATCTAAACATCAAAAACGCCATCTTAATGCAAGAAAAAACATCTAAATCTGGATGTAAAACATCCAAAGTGGCAACACTGTCAACAACAGGCAGGAACAAGGCATGTCTGGGGTAACAGATTGCGCTGCCTGTTGCTGACACGCGTGGGAGCGGAAGAACTCAACCTTGTATTGATCTGAACATGTTCAAAAAAATTGGCGGTAGGAGTGGTTATGGTCATTGGACATAGATTCGTTTGAGATGTTTGTTATCAGAACAAAGGGGGCACAGACAATGAATAAATAATTTAGTGCCTGGCTTGTTTTGTCTTCCCAGGTCGATCGGGCTAGGTCCTTGAATTTTAAACGATAACAACTCGTCGGAATTGAGATTTCGTACGGAATTTCTATAGACCCCTAAGAGTTTAACTAGGCAGCACCATATAATAGGGAAGGAAAGGGGGTGGGGGTAGGGTTAGGGCTAGTGTTAAATAAATAGCGACTACTGCTAAACCTAACCCTAACACCCACCTCCCTCCACCCCCATACTATGGAACATTCTGGGATTTCTCTACCAAATCTTGAAACCGACGAGATGTGCGTCGTATAAAATTAAAGTTCACTGGCTAAAATGTTTATCAGGCAGTGCCGAATTTTAAAAACAAGTAGAAAATATTGTAAAGAACCCTAAAAATACTGTAAAAAATCCTAGAAAAAATATTGTAAAGAACCCTAGAAGATACTGTAAAGAACCCTAGAAAATACTGTCAAGAACCCTAGAAAATATTGCCAAGAACCCAAGAAAATGCTGTAAAGTACCCTGGAAAATATTGTAAAGAACCCTAGAAAATGCTGTAAAGAACCTTAGAAAATACTGTCAAGAACCCTAGAAAATACTGTCAAGAACCCTAGAAAATGCTGCAAAGAACCCTAGAAAATACTGTCAAGAAACCTAAAAAATACTGTCAAGAACCTTAGAAAATACTGTCAAGATCCCTAGAAAATACTGTCAAGAACCCTAGAAAATACTGTCAAGAACCCTAGAAAATACTGTCAAGAACCCTAGAAAATGCTGTAAAGAACGCTAGAAAATACTGTCAAGAACCCTAGAAAATGCTGTCAAGAACGCTAGAAAATACTGTCAAGAACCCTAGAAAATGCTGTCAAGAACCCTAGAAAATGCTGTCAAGAACCCTAGAAAATACTGTCAAGAACCCTAAAAAATACTGTCAAGAACCCTAGAAAATGCTGTCAAGAACCCTAGAAAACACTTTCAAGAACGCTAGAAAATGCTGTCAAGAACCCTAGAAAATGCTGTCAAGAACGCTGGAAAATACTGTCAAGAACGCTAGAAAATACTGTCAAAAACCCTAGAAAATGCTGTCAAGAACCCTAGAAAATACTGTCAAGAACCCTAGAAAATGCTGTCAAGAACCCTAGAAAATGCTGTAAAGAACGCTAGAAAATACTGTCAAGAACCCTATTCCACGCCCTCTGACGTATTGGACATTTAGGGCAATAGCAATTTTTATAGACCAATCAGTACTCGGTGAGCGATGTGCTTGACATCGCACAAACCGGCTTTACTTCCCAGGACTTTTCTCAGAACCTACGTAAGGCTGGGTCCAACTGTGAGCCAAGATCATTTTTGTACATAAGTAAATGTCCGGCTCTGTAAGGATTTGAACCCACGACTGTCAGATTCCCAGCCAAGCGTTAAGCTGTTGTGATAATCCTTTCTAATCACTAATATTAGGCAACATATGTTTTGATGTCATAATCAATCATTTCGCATTTGAAAAATCAAGAAAACAGTTTTAAATATAGAACCTTTTAGAGGATAAAAAATATTATATATGCGATTGATTATACAATATAATTTTTCTAATACATTTCTAAATATTTCTTTTAATAAAAATTAAACGATAGTATAGTTTCATTGTCCGTATATTTCAACGGCGATTACATTTGAAAGTTTTTTTTTAGATTTGTAGGTGAAATTTACAACGACAGGGACCTCAGTGTTTATATTTGTCTGAGGGCGTCATCGTCTGCAGCGGATTTTCCCTATTCTGGAGTGCTAGTTAACGTTCTCAGTTCCCGGTCATGCTTTTAAAAATTGTTGGCAGTGGATCTGTTGCGTCCGATTGGTCATCTCCAGACAGTGGTCAGTTTCCTTCGTGTTGTTGTTTCTTTGCTAAAGATACATTGCCACGGTCAACCAGCATCACCGAAGGGGGAGCTTTAGGTTATAGTTTTGACTAGGTTATGTGCGCCATATAAGATGGGGGTAGCATTGCAGACGAGATCGACCCAGCTTAGTGAGAATACTTTATAGAGTTAACGGTATGCTATTGACCACAGATAAAGAGAATGGGAAGGCTTTCCTGAAGAGGTTAATTTCGCAGACAGACCGCAACGGTGAAGATGACAGACACACAGAGAAGGTATCACAAGACCCCACGCCCCCTTCAGCTTATGGCAAGTCCATCACAGTCCCTGGAGTACATGGCAAGGCAATTATGAAAAGTTACTGGTGACCCTAGGAGTGAGCCTGTAGGCTAAAGACGTCTCACGTTGTGGGCTCACGTCAAGTCGAGGCTAGGTGTTCCCCTTTGTGGTGACGCCACCTTGGAGGCAGATCAGTGAGTATCTGTGGGTATTAGACAGACTGTAGTTGTGTAATCACCAATTCATCTTCATTGCCACACATGGTTCGTCAAAATAAATAGACTAATGCACTATTATAAAGATGACTTTTAATATGTTGTTGCTGGCGGTTATCGGTATTAGTTGTACGATGTAGCTATTTGAACTGTGCTAGTTAAGCACTTTCCGGCCGGGAACACAATTAGTCGCCAGAAGGTTGTCTTGGTAGCTTTTATATAGATCTGGTTGAAGCGTTTATCATTCACCTCTGGACACTTGGCAAGTAGGCGGTGCTTCACAAGTAAGTAAGTAAGTTTTACCCCGCCAGGACATCACGCCAGCGACAAACCACGGCGACACAAAGTGCCACCACACGGATGAGGATCACCCGTGGAGAGGTCCCAAAAACCCCTTTCAGCCGTTACGCCATATCTATGCCCCAGCTATATTCAGGGCCCCTGGAAGAAGCCAGGGTGGGGCTTTAAATAACGAAAAATTGCATCCCACACAGAAGGATTACACTTGCTTGCTTGCTTATTGTATCTCACCAGGGCACCGTACGCGACAAACACGTGACACAAAGTGCCACCGTCCGGACGAGGATCACCCGTGGAGAGGTCCCAGAAATCCCTTTCAGTCCTTATAGCTACATTTGTGGCCCAGCAATTTTCAAGGCCCCCGGCAAAAGCCAGAGTGGCGCTTGAAATAACGAAAACAATTTTTTTTAATCAGTGAGAGAACAGGTTTATTGATT